AAGAAAGCACTGTAATTAAGTAGGTTGTGTGTCACGGTTGATGATGATAACTGCTCTTACTGATGTGCCATTCATTCAGGTGGCAGCCAGTGCTCCTCAAATCCATGTCTGCATAATGGCATGTGCATGGACAACATTCGCAGTTACACGTGCAGTTGCACTAGTGGCTATGAAGGAGACAACTGTGAACTAGGTAAGTTCTCTACAAGCACTATATTGAAATCATATTCCTTCCTGGAAGCCAGAATGGGAAACTTATGTACCTCATATCCTGTTTGCCTTAACTTAGAACATATATGATCCTTAGTGAAGGATGCATTAAAATTACACATGAGAAAATGTGATACCCATTGTCCATTTCTTCCTTTACTCCCAGGGTATTTTCCTGTGGGGTTTTCTGTTGAAGAGGGTAATCCCCCTTCAGTCTTTCTCCATCCTTTCTCAGGCAATCATAAGGTGACTGCACTGGAAATTCACCAGAATAAGGAATGAATAAAAACAGAAAAGTGGCCTTGACCTGCTTTACTATGTTAATCGCTATAGATGGAAATGGAAATGAATAGAAAAAGTCACGGTACTTAAAACACAATAGGCCAGATCCCTGAGCCTGTTAAGTCTGCTTATATATTTCATAGACATTAGGGCTGAAAGGGACCTCACAAGATCATCTGGTCCAGCCCCCTGCCCAAGGGGCAGGAAGTCAGCTGGGATCAGATCACCCCCGCAAGATAAGCATCCAAGAGTTTCTTAAAGGTATCCACAGTAGGTGCTTGCATCACTTCTTGGGGGAGTCTGTTCCAGGCTCTGGAGACTCGGTCAGTAAAGAAGTTTTTCATTATATCCAGTCTAAAATGGTCTTCCAGAAATTTGTGACCATTAGGCTTTGTCTACCCTTGGGGTGCCCTGATGAACAGATGTTCTCCCAGCTCCTGATGCACAACCCTTATATACTTACAAACTGTCAGAATTGGATGCAGTACTCCAGCTGTGGCCTCACCAAGGCTGAGTAAAGCAGGAGGATGACTTCTTAGGTCTTGTTTGAGAAGCATTGGTAGATGCAAGCCAGGGTTTTATTTGCTTTGCTGGCTGCAGAATTGCATTGGTGGCTCATGTTCGTCCTGTGGTCAATCACGACCCTCAAGTCTCTTTCAGAGAGAAAAGAGCTGCTACTCCACCAGCCTCAAATGAGCCTTGCTGCCTAGCTGAAGACTTTCCCCTGCCATAGAGAAATCTTTGGGCACTGTAGGCAAGCATAGCCCTCTGGCATAAGGGATGTGGCTGAGAAATAAGAGCAATAGTTTCTGTGCCCTTTGAGCTTTGGCAATCCCCAACCATAGAAGAGCTTCTCCTTCCATCACCCTTTACCCCCTCCCCCATCTGCTGCTGCTACTTTCTCTCTGTCTTAGGGGTGGGGGAAGCTTTAAAGCTGCAGGGGAGAGGGGTGGGGAGCTGGACTCAGTTTGAAATGTGACAGGACAGCAGCAGCAGCAATGGGTTGGGGGGAGTTAACTCACCCTTCCCAGGCTCCCAGGAGCAGGCATGCGGGGGCAGGAACTCAATTACTGCTGCTGCTGCTGCAGCTGTCACTATTCCAGCTGAGCCAAGCCCCCTCCCCTGCCCTGCAACCTGGCTAGAGTGGGCAGGAGTAGCTCTGAAGCTTCCCCCGCCCACAAAACAGTGGGGAAAGCTTCAGCAG